AAGTTCAAGCAACATCATGAATTAAAATCACTGGTAAGACTGAACCGCAAAGTACATCATTTTATCTTCATTCCACCATGACATGATCTAGAGTAGACCACACATATTCAGTGTTCATGATTTGCTATTGGATCTTCTGGTGGAGGTTTTTTATGCACAATAGCCTGGTAACGCAGAACCAGTAAGTTGATTTCATCAATTCTGATGTGAAAGGAGCTTGATGCGTTGAAGCTTGTAGTTCAGGAATGTCCAGTAAATAGCCACATCTTTATCACAACTCAAAACCTCGGTGCATAACATCCCTTTTCACTTGCCTTTATAATCAGGGATAACAAATAAGTCTGTCTTTCGCTACCACATATAACTTTGTTTGCTCTTCGTAGTGTCTCTCAAACTTCGGTCATTATTTTGCTTACCACATATAACTTTTGAGTATTCTTTCTACCTTTTACCATTAAACATTAATATTACTGTATAAAAGCACCCATAAATAGAATGTACAAGAAGTAACTTCATAATCATATAAAAAAATAGTACAGCTTTGAATGGTCAAGCCCCAAAGACCATTCATCTTGAGAAGCTTTAAGCTTCACATGTAAGATATACAGATATACAGCTAACAGAATCCAAAGAAAGGAACCCCATAAATGAAAAATAAAATCATATAAAAATATAAGTGGATTTAACTAATGAAATTAGAAGCTGACACAAAATCAATGTTTACTGATAATAAAAGTAATCTTTAGTTATATATGTAGAACATCCTTCATTTGTATCTTTCTGTTACTAAATTCTAGTTCAACGAAATGTAAAATTCTACTTTGACATTTCTGCACATTATCCCACTTTAAATTGGAACATATAACTAAACGAAAACATAATTTTTTACAGAGCCATCAATTGCACATTGTTACTGATGGTTAATTGTTCATTTTTACTCTGTAAAACACACCAGACATACAGAGAACATAACAAAGACCCTATAAGTGATGAATAATTTTTTATTTTCCTTCTTTAAAGCATATCGGCCAAAAAAAAAAAAAAAGAGCATGTTAATTCCTCTAAAGTCTTTAGACAGAAAAGGATCAGCTTAATAGTATAGTAGAGCTCATATTATATGGGAGTAGTTTTTTCTCCTGGTATAGCAATCTCCATTTTCCAACTAAACCGCGTTAACGTATATGTTCCAAGGCATCTAAGTTGATAAAATCTATTAAATTATAGACCCATACTGGTCGGTGTAAACCAGCAAATAAAAAGACGTCATGCTCTGCTCTGCCTTTACCAGCATGCTTTGAACTATCTAACCAATGCGAATCAAATAAAGCATATGCAGTCTACCAAAGAAAAATTAGGTGATGTTCCATGAGAAACTTCTAAAACCAATAAAAAAAAACAATCGCAAAGGAGACATTCATTTAGTTATCACATCGTTAGTTGATTAGTAAGCACGTTATCAAACTAACAATTTCAAGAACATGACTTATCAGGCAAAACAAACTTTTGCACTCATCCTTGGATGATAACTCTGTAGTTGGGAACGTTTCTTCTTAGTCTTCATTGAACTATTTTCTTTCCCCCAAAGTACAACAACAACAAGCGCAGTAACAAGTAGAGTCTGGGGAGGATAAGATGCACGTAGTCTTCCCCTCAAATACATGATCATATATATTTAGATAAATTTTTTGACTGAAAATATGCTTGAACAATTTAAGCTAAAACATCAATTTTGGGTATGCAAATAGTCCCAAAAAAGAACTGCAGTCAAATATCCAGAACACATATTAGTAAGCGCAACAACAACTCATTATTTTTTGACAATTTGTAAAGCCTAATTTTATTGCCCCAGAGACCTTACTTTGCAGCAATATGCAAGAAATCAATTCAAGAAAATGAAAACTCATTATTCACCAGATAAAACTAACCTAAAAATAGTGAAGAAAATCGCTAGCCTAATACAATTTCTTCATGAGCAATAAAAATAGTTTATAAATAGTGAAGTAAAAAAGAGTGTGAAGACATGCAACTTCATTTTTTTTCTACCAACCAAAACTAAGGAAAATTTTAAAAGTAAATACTGATCTTTGAATAGCCAATTTGACTTTTGTTCTAAAATAAAACCAGCCAACTTTTTACAGTAAGAAATTTACTGAGAAAATGTAGCAAGGGCAATGAAGATCCAATAATTGTATAGTCGGTTAAAGCTCTACGAAGCAAGATAGGATAAACACAGCTGTAACAGAGTGTATTAATTGCATTACATGGCTAGCCTAACTGGAAACATCCTATTCAAAGGTTTTATTGGTCAGCCAAAGTCAACTGGGTTTATCCTAACAGAGCCCACAAGCATTCGTAGTTTCTTCCGGGCAATGTCTCAAGCACCTCTAATGCAATTCCTAATGCAGTATGTAAAATATCAAACGCAACTCCTTTTTTACTGCAGTTTGATAGAGTTGAAACAGAAGAAACTTAAAATTAAACCATGAAAAGAGCGAAACGGGACAACCAAAACAGAGAGCGTAACAACATGTCGCCAATTAGCTTGAAATGTTAAACGAACAAAGTTAAATCTTCCATCCAAGATGCAAAACATCGCAAGTAAAATTAAAAGAAAACAGAAAACTATACCAAACATATGCGTGTGAAAAAAAAGGATAAAGACAAAGCAGCACAACTTTAACAGTGAGAAGAGCAAAGGTGATCAAAGCGGAAGAGTAATTTGAGGAGCTTTGAATTTTTTTGCGCACAAAGAGAGACGCTGGTATTTACCTATTAAATCAAATCCTACTAAAGTGAAAGTCGCACTAACTTAAGAAAATAAGATCAGACATGAAAATAAAATTCAAGAATAATCACGAAAGAAACCAAAAAAAAAAAAAAATAGCAAAGATTGGGGAAGTCTTGAATTTCTTATTTACACGATTCTTATTCTCACCATTATTAGCCATGGAAGAATTGATGGGTAAGTGAAGAGGAAAAGTGGAAGTAATCATACTGGCGCTACTGTGGTAGTCGGCTACCGCCCAAGAGCTAATGAATTTACATAAATGGGCTATGCGGTCAATACAGAACATGAAAGGCATAAATATAATTCTAAGCTATCTGTCGTTATACGGCAGATGATACAGGAGGAATTCAATCTGATTAAGCCCACGTATGCCATATGAACCAATTGCAAAACCAGTTTTAGCAATCAAAGACATGAATTTTCGTATTTGCCCCTCAAAGCAGGACGACCAAGACCTGCTTATTCCCGCTTCTAAATAGTAAGGAAAATAGGAAAATATCACATCTAGCACAACAAAACACATGAAAACTAAACTTCTTTAGAGGTGTAGAACATCTGAAATTTTGAAGTATGACATGGGATATGAGAATTCAGAAAAAAAAAAAAAAAAAAGTGGAAGTCCCATCATTTTGGCAACGCAATTGTTTTTAATTGCGTTGAATGTATCAATAAATAATGATTATTCAGATACAAATAACTGATATCCTTTGAAGTTCAGTGGCTACCAATAATGCTATAGTCGGATGAAATTTATTACTTTTATAGTATTTAGTTCACCAACTTAGGAAATTAATGACTCATCAATATTTTACGTTGATAAACTTATGAAACTCAAAAGGTTTAAGTTTGAAAAATAAAAAGAATTAAGATATGGCATCTTGATAAGTTCTTAGACGATTCCCCTACAAACTTTTACTTAGTTAATAGAAGGTAAATTTACTTTATGGTACAATAATATTGTAGGAGTAGTATTTAGCTTAAGGGTGAAATGGTCATTCAGCTTTTGAAGGTTATTTGAGTAATTCAATTCACACATATGCTTTCACTCTTATAATATCGTATGATATGATGATTACTACATGTTGTTTCTTTTGCTTCGGTTATCTTATTTTTCTGGTTGTGGTTACTGCTTCTCTTTCTCATGGCTTCTTTTTTAGAGTATTTCATTTTTAAAACTACTGTGATTATGCTTCTCTTGAGCCGAGGGTATATCAGAAACATCTTCTCTATCTCTACAAGGTAAGAGTAAGGTCTGTATATCCATTACTATTCCCAGACTTTGCTGGTAAAATTACATTGGGCATATTGTTGTTATTACCACTCGGCGGTACCATGAATTATAATTTAATACGAAATCAAAAGCATCTCTTGGTGGAGGCTATATTTTTCAAGATTTTGTTTGATGATTAAAGTGAAAACTACTTCTGCTTTGAACACCATTTTTTTCAAACCTCAAATACCAACCGTTTGGTTGTCCAGACCGAGACTCGAGATTAGAAAATAATTCTGATATAAACTTTGGTAGTAGGTAATACCTGTACAAGTAACATCTGTATAATTTTATACTAAAATTTCAATATTGTTTTATATTGAATTCAATATAGGATATTATCTTTGCAAGAATAAACACTTAAAATACCAAAATATCCCTTAATCCCATCTTTCTGTTCTTTTGTTCTTGCTTTAAAAACAAGAGTAAAATTGTATACTTATATCTCCCACTTCTAATGCAATGAGTCCAAACATCCACAATCACAATCAAGGGCATCCAAGGCAACCAGGCAAAGCAGTCGTTTTCTTTTGGACAACGGAACTATCCCACCATCGTAAGGAGATTTTCCGGAAAATATTTTCCAAAAAGTAATCTCCGGAAAATATTTTCCAAAAAGTAAGTCACTACCTAGTACAGTAGTATTTAGTTGTCAAAAAATATTTTTCAAAGAAAACATTTTCTACCAAAAAGGGGATGACGACTTACCTTGTTAAGTGAAAGTCACTTAAAAGTCATTTTCCTTCACAACGATCTCAACTTTATTTCACTACTTTAGCCATCACTTAAACATTATTATCAATCTTTAATAGTTCATCATAACAATGCTAATACCACTATCAATCTTCACTAAATGTTTTTTGCTAGAAATTGTTTTCGACTCTATCACCAAACACCATAAGACATTTTTCAGGAAAATAATTATCAGAAAACAAGCATTTCCCAAAAAAAAAAAATTCAAAAATGACTTCACACAAAAAGTGATGTTTGTCCAAGTTTAGCATCGTACTCCAACAAATAGAAGATGTTGATGTTCTAAATAGTACTCCAGAAATAAAATAAAAATCTAATATTCGGAGGATATGAAAGAGAGGTTTAATGGAACTCCCAGCAGCAGGAGGGTAAATGATTAGGAAACCACAAAATATTATTGCATGCCAGTTAAGTCTTCGCAAAATTATGCCAGATGGTAAGACTTCATTGTAATATATTGAGGAATTGAAGACTTCAGGCCTTCCTTCTAGATATGGTGCCATCTACTAGGTAAACCTGCATCATAATACAACCACAGCTGCTTAGTTACCTGAATTGATTACATATACAAGAAAGCAAATGATATAAAGTGACGCCTGATATACATAGATTATTGCTCAGACTCACATTCTTTGTTGACAGGACATGAAAATTGCATAAGAAAATGCAGCAAATCAACAGTATGATTGGAGAAAATAATTATGCTGACCATTAAAACATCAGAAATACACTTTGCAAGTACCATTTTTTTTTATAAGGTAAATACACTTTGCAAGTACTAGTGCTGCAATTCGCATAGATTTTTATCAAACCATAATACGCGCTTGAAGATAATAATTAACAACTTTAGCAACTTGAGAAATGCATCACAAGCACATTACTGTCATCTAACCATCTTGCAACTGCAAAAACCTCCAAGAGCTCAATCACCAGTAATTCCAGGCACTCTATAATGTATTGTCCATCTATCAAAATAAGAATGAAAGTCATACTAGAGTTCTGTGGACATTATAACCAGTCGTGGGAGAATCCACCTTCGTGACAGCCTGTATGCTTCATCTCAGACTAATACATCTTCCTGACAGCCTGTATGCCTCATCTCAGACTATTATAAGCACACATAATATATATTTATAATTTATGTATGTGTGTAGATACACACACGTACATAAAATACATATACCTATGCCGAGTCTGCATCCATTATCAAAAAGGAGTAATGATCATTCATTGGTTTAAAATCTTAGATCTAACTCTGGAGCCAGTTTGGCAATGGAACTAAAGGTGAAGGAGGACCACCATGGTTCAAAGTTTCTTGAACTAAAGGTCTTGGTTCAGGTAAGCCTGGTTTACAGCCTAAATATTACTACTCAAACAATCATATTATCTTGACAATGATGTATCATCATGTTTAGAAAGATTTAACCTTAGAACCATCTGAACTACTATAATGCACATATTTGAACTTTTTCACTCAGTCTCAGATTTAGGCAGAAAAGGTCATTTACAATGATAGTCTATAATAGTTTATTTGCAATAGTTCTATATTATTTGATTTGCTAAATCTGTATAGTGCAAAGTCCTAATTAATCCATAACTTAGCAAAACATGGATTTGGTATGAACTATGAAATGGATTATGCCACATTTCCATCAGCAACTCTGATCAAATTTAGCTCCACATGCTTCCCTCCTATTGTTAACCAGAAAACAGTGTATTGGACACTTAATTGAGGTCAGCAATTCTGTATGGGATCAAAATCAACCAATTATCATTTCATTCCTCAACTTATCAAACATTATTACATCAGATCACGCGTGTCCAAAATGACTTTACACAAATGTACACATACCCGATTAGAATACATGTAATCAGAATTAACGCATAGAAGATGCAGCAACAAAATCAACAAGCTCTGATCATATTTAGTTACACATGCTTCCCTCCTATTGTTAAGAAACAAGGAATAATGTATTGAAACTTAATTGAAGTTAACTCATTGTATTGAAATTAACATTGACCAACTACTTTTTAACACCAAATATGCGCCACACTTTCCAAATTTCATTTTATTCCCTAATTTATCAAACATTACATCAGATCATGGGCACATGCACCACATAGAAAATGCAGCAATATCCAATAGGAAAGTTAATCCACTATAGGTAACAGTCACTTACTAAGGCAACTTTCCGGCCCGGAAAGTAGCAAACTTTGACACTTCTGAATAGCTGTAATCAATGTCATTCTCCTTCAACAATGCCTCAATCATCGCCTTAACTTTCTCCGGCTCCGTGCTTTCGCATTCGATCTCATAACAAGTCCCAAAGTCATACATAGTTTCATCAACCTCCAACTCCACACCATTCCACTCAAACACATTCCTCACGTTCTTAAACCCGCCCAGTCCAATAAACCCTCCCTCTGCAACGCCAAATTCCTCTTTTGCTCTTTTCAAAACCCTAGATTTCACCTCCATCAGTTTTCTAGGGTTAGAAACGCATTCATACCCGATTTTTGGATCGAATTCTTCTTCGTCCTCTTCTACTCGGCTAACGCCGTCGATAATTACAGCTTTAGCCTTGAGGCACACCATGCACTTCACGTTTTCCGAATTCTCGTAGAATCGGAGACGGAGAACGGCCCGGCGCGAGCTCAGCTCGCCGGAGGCGCCGTCGAAGAAAGTGTTGCGCTGGTGGTGGGTTTTAGCGTGATACGGCGAGAAAAGCGAGAGAACCTTCTGGTGTGCGGCTGAATCCGGTAATTTGAGCTTCACTTCAACCTCCATAACTACAGTTAGCGAAAATGTAATTTAAAAAAGCGGCGTCGTATGAGATCAATTTATAGTGTGTTAATTGAGGCCGATACGGTGGGATTTGGTGGAGGGATCGACGGCCGAGCGGTCGAAGTGTTGGAGGAGGGAGGTGGCGCCGGTGGTGCTGGTGGTGGTACTGGAGGAGGAGGAGGAAGCGGCGGCGATGGCGGCGGCGCGTTTGCGAGCTTCTTCGAGTTCTTCTTTATCTTCGATTTTCACTTCGATTTTGCTTGGCTTTCTTCTCAACATTTCTCCGTGTATCTCACGCACTGACGCAGGGACTTGATAGCAAAAGTTCTGTGTTTTTGTACTTTAGAAAAGGGAGAGGTTTAAATTTCACAATGAGACCCTTCAATTTACTTACAATTGCGGAAATACTCCAAGTTATGCTTTTGTAATAGGGGTTTTGACACAGTTACCCACAAAAATAAAACTATTTATCCTTGTCTACTCATTTATTTTTCTACCCATAAACTAATTACATTTCCTATCCATAGTAGTTTCTGTGGCAAATTTTTTCTTTATTCTCCAATTCTTTTTTATTTCTATGCTTCTTTTCCTTTTTTTTTCTTTTCTCCTTTTTTTCTCGTTTTCTTCTTATTTTTTTCTTTTTTTCTTTTCTAATTTCATTTAACTTCTTTTTTATATTCTTTTTCTCTTCATAATCTAATTTCATTTACTGTTTTCACTATTTTTTATTATTCTTTTTTTTATATTATTACTAAAGAAAAATCAAATTGTGTACCGATTAAATGGAGCTAATACAATCAAAAAATATTAACTAACATATGATACCAGTATAGTATATAGCTATACCAACAGAGTATACAATTGTACGCAAAGAGTTAAAAAAATTAATTCAATTATTAAACTGAAATAATATCACTTGTCAATAAAAATTTCAAAAAATTCTAAAAGGATCTAATTGTAAGAGTATACCGTTACATTATATAGCATACTATAATTTTTTTTTTTTTTTTGCATTTTTCAATTTGCCTCTCACGCAGGGTAAAAGCTTAAAGCAAATTAAAAGGGAAAAGGCAAGTGAATTTACGGATAATAAGTGTACTATTACAGTATATTGTATACTATTACAACCTAATGTTACAGTATATTGCATATTGTTATAGTATACTATAACAATATATTATATACTATAATAGTATATTGTTGCAGTATAACTATATACTCCTATAGTATATTGTATACTGTAGCGGTATACTGTTAGGTAACTGTGTTCTTCTTCGATTATTACAATATACCATTGCAGTATATTGTAAACTATAATAGTATACTGTAGCAGTATAGCTATATACTCCTACATCATATTGTATACCGTAGCAGTATACTATTGGGTAGCTGTGTTCTTTTTAGATTTTCAGCTGAAATTTCCTCAATCACCTCAAATCAGCTCCAATGCTATCAAATTTGTCCTCCTGCTAATTCCAGCCGCAACCTGCAAACAAAAAACGTTAGTGAGAACAAAAGAGAAAAGGGAAGACAGCAAAACCAAAAAAACAGAGGGGAAACGAACATAAAGCATAAAGAAATAAGGGAAAGGAACATTGAAGCAACTACTGAATTCCAACAAACCAACAATCTTTTCCAAATTTTAAATAAAATTAGATCCTTAACTACACCATCGAACCCTTTCAACTTTCACTATTAATTAGCTAGACATTTATAAGTTTCACCCAGCATGTCTAAAATATGCCAATTTGAACAACGAAGACTCAATAAATCTCAATACACTCATTCTTCGGCTTCCACGCAACATGCAATACACACAGCAGAAGTCAGACATATGACAACAATGAAAAACAGCAAAATCATTTAAATCAGTTACCCCTTCAACCATCAATGACAAGATCTTAATAATATTTGTTCCCAATTGATGATACAAGACAATTCTTACGATAAAGATCCATTTTTTCTCAATCCTAGCAAAAAAATTACCTTAATCATTGCGGGCAGTAAAAATAATAATTCCAATTTCATCACCCACCAAACACTCAGCAAGACGATTTCTCTGTACAATTGGCTTTTTACTAATAACCTTTACAGTTATACTAACCCCAAAATTCGATGGTCGAAGCTGATTCACTTTTTTAGATCCCACTTGCTGCTTCTTCTGCGCTGCCATTTTTTTCAACTCTTTTTTTCTGAATACCTATTTAATTCCCAGAAAAGAAATTCAGGAATTTTAATTAAAAAAATAAATACAGCAAATCCTGACATAAAGGTTGTATTTTTTTATGTTTTTGCACAAATTTAGTTGTTTTGACAAAAAAAAAAGAGAACAGGCCTGAAGATCAACTTCGCCGGAGAATGATACGAGATTTGTCAGATTTTTCATGCTTTTGCACAAATTTTTTCATGTTTTTGCACAAATCTTGGCCTATTTTTTCGAAGGCAGATTTTTCAGCCATTGTTTGAATCTCTATTTCACCACTTGAGGTTCTCTTTCAAGATTCTTTGTTAGCGGGAACTATTCCATTTGTTTGCAGGTTGCGGCTGGAATTAGCGGGTAAATAGTCTGGGTCGCATGGATAGGAGTGGTAAATAGTTTGGGCCTGGGTATTAAAGGGTAAATAGTTTGGAATTAATGGGTATAAAGTGAGATTTTCTCTTTTTAATACTCATTTTAGAGCCGTCAATATGGGCTTGGCCCGTTGGGCCAGCCCAGCCCAGCCCGTGATTTAGCAGGGCTGGGCTGGGATATTTGGAGCCCATTTAAAAACGAGGCTTTTAAGCCCGGCCCGAGTAAGCCCGTGGCCCGTGAGGCTTGACTGAGGCTGGGCCGGCCCGTGGGCCTAATAAAAATATGTATTTAAAATATATATAATATAAAAAGTATATGACACAAAAAATAACAAGAAAGTATCCCAAGTTTAAAGTTTATTAAGCTCATCATATTAAAAGATCAAAGTTTTAAAATATTAATTAATTTTAAAAATTTATTTATTCTTAGTATTTAACTAATTAATATTGCATACGAATTGTAAATGTAGATAAAAGTAAGGATGTTAAGCCAACCTTCTCACAAGCGGATTCAAATGTGTTTGATAAAGATGATGTGTGTTGGATATCTCGTAAGCGTCATGGACGTTCTCTCGAATATTTTTATTGAGTTTTGACTTTTAATGCATGAAATATAGTCTTGTCTTTTACTTTTTTAGCATTTATTGTGGTGTATTGGAACAATATAGAAAGTTATTAAGTTTTGTGAAATTTTTTCAATAAGATTTTTTTAACTTTTAAATATTTATCTTTTTTTAGGTTAGAACTTAAAGAAATATATATAATTATATTTGAAAAATGATGGGCCGGCCCGTGGGGGCCCGCAACCCACATAGGGCTGGGGTGGGCTGACTATTATAAGGCCCATCAAAATGGTGGGCTAGCCCAGCCCAACCCGTCAATTGCTAAAGCCCACGTGGGCTGGGCTGGGCTAGCCCGGCCCCGCCCATATTAACAACTCTACTCTCTTTTGNTTTTCAGTGGTGGGAAATTCATTTGAGGAGTGCCTAATAAATCTGACGCGTGTGCTGAAACGGTGCATCGAGACTAACTTGGTTCTGAATTAGGAGAAGTGCCATTTCATGGTACAAGAAGGAATAGTCTTGGGGAACCGGGTGTCAAGCAAGGGAATAGAGGTGGATCGAGCAAAGGTTGATGTAATAGCAAAGCTGCCTCCACCAACTTCGGTCAAAGCCATAAGAAGTTTTCTTGGACATGCCGGTTTCTACCGGAGGTTCATAAAAGACTTCTCCAAAATCACCAACCCTCTTTGTAAGTTGTTAGAGAAAGATCACCCGTTTGTATTTTCTGATGATTGCAGGGTAGCGTTTGAGGAGTTGAAACGGAGGCTGGTCACAGCACCCATCATTGTTGCCCCCAACTGGGAGCAACCGTTCGAATTAATGTGTAATGCTAGTGACTACGCAGTGGGGGCAGTGCTGGGCCAGCGGAAAGACAAATTGATGCACCCGATCTACTATGCTAGTAGAACGCTGAGTGGGGCCCAGTTGAACTACACAGTGACGGAAAAGGAGATGCTAGCTGTGGTGTTCGCTTTTGACAAGTTCCGGTCCTATCTGATAGGATCCAAGGTAATTGTATACACTGACCATGTAGCTCTTAGGTACTTAATAGAAAAGAAAGAATCTAAGCCACACCTGATTCGTTGGGTGTTGCTACTGCAAGAATTTGATCTTGAAATACGTGACCGGAAGGGCACTGAGAATCAAGTCGCTGATTATCTATCACGACTTGAGGGAGCTGAAAATGTAGTAGAGGTTGAGGAAATTCTGGAAACATTTCCAGACGAGCAGTTGCTCACCACCACTCATCAGGAAGCGCCATGGTATGCGGACTTTGCTAATTACCTGGCCAGTGGTATTGTTCCTCACGACCTTTCATCGTTCCAAAGGAAAAGATTTTTTCGTGAAAGCCACCAGTATTACTGGGATGAACCTTATCTGTTCAAAATATGCCTTGATAATATGATCCGGAGATGCGTCCCCGAGATAGAGCAATTTTCTATTTTGCAGGCTTGTCACGCATCGGCGTATGGCGGACACTTTGGAGGAATCAGGACAGTAGCAAAGGTGCTAGAAGCTGGATTTTTCTGGCCAACGGTGTTTAAAGATGCTCACTTATGGGTAAAGGGCTGTAATGAATGTCAACGCATAGGGAACATTTCCCGGCGCCACGAGATACCCATGAACCCGATTCAAGAGGTGGAAGTGTTTGACGTCTGGGGGATAGATTTTATGGGTCCCTTCGTCAGTTCCTATGGCAATAAGTACATTCTTGTTGCTGTAGACCATGTGTCCAAGTGGGTAGAAGCTGCAGCGATGCCCACCAATGATGCAAAAGTGGTGGTACATATTCACCCGCTTTGGGACACCACGCGCAATTATCAGCGACGGAGGCACTCACTTCTGCAATAGGGCTTTTGAAAAGTTACTGGCTAAGTATGATGTGCGCCACAAGGTGGCTACTCCGTACCACCCGCAGACTAGTGGACAGGTTGAGGTATCCAACAGGGAGATCAAGAGTGTACTGACAAAAACAGTGAACGCCACAAGAACTGATTGGGCAAGGAAGCTAGATGATGCACTCTGGGCTTACAGAACAGCTTTCAAGACACCAATTGGTATGTCACCATACAAGTTGGTGTTTGGGAAGGCCTGCCACCTACCTGTAGAACTTGAGCATAAAGCGTGGTGGGCACTGAAACAGCTAAACCTAGACATTGAAGCTGCGGGCACGTCAAGGGTCACTGAATTGCATGAG